AGACCAGCTTGGATGGATAATAACCTAGCAACATTTACCAGTTTATGTTGACCATCTTTGCTGGTCTTTTCAACAAGACCATGTAGGAACATGATTACTGTTTGCTGTAGGTCACTAGATGTGCAACAAATCCAGGTTTTTAACTTACTTCAGCTCCTTCTACTTTAAAGGGTTAGTTCACCCCAAAATGAAAATTCTGTCATTAATTACTCACCCTCATGTCGTTCCAAACCTGTAAGACCTTCGTTCATCTTCGGAACACAAATTAAGATATTTTTGATGAAATCAGAGAGCTTTCTGACCCTCCATAGACAGCAATGCAACTGAAATGTTCCCAGACCCAAAAACGTAGTAAGGACATTGGTAAAACTGCAATTTTGCGAATCCGCAATTTTTTGCATCGTGGCTTCGCGAAATTGCATTTGAACCGCTGATGTGTTGTCCGTCAGCAGCATCACACGCATGTGTTGTTTACAGAGGAAAGCAATGCACATGCATCATGGCACTCCCTATAATGGCAGAATACGTCATTTGGAGGAGAAAAATTGTTGAATAAAGTTATTTTTGTTTTCTTTGTGCACAAAAAGTATTCTTGTAGCTTCACAAAATTGTGGTTGAACCTCTGATGTCACATGGACTGTTTTAACGGTGTCCTTACTACGTTTCTGGGAATATTACAGTTGCGTTGCTGTCTATGGAGGGTCAAAGAGCTCTCAGATTTCATAAAAAATTTCTTAAGTTGTGTTCCGAAGATAAACAAAGGTCTTACGGGTTTGGAACAACATTAGGGTGAGTAATTAATGACAGAATTTAAATTTTTGGGTGAACTATCCCTTTAACTTCTGTAGGTGGTGAAGATGATGATTGTCGTTGAGTGCACCTTCGCCATCTGCTGGCTGCCCTACCATGTCTACTTCCTGCTGCACCAGTTCCTTCCCCACTTGTTTGAGGAACAGTACATCCAGCAGGTGTACTTAGGAATAATGTGGCTTGCCATGAGTTCCACCATGTACAATCCCATCATCTACTGTCTTCTCAATGACAGGTAAGAGTTGGTTTAGAGGCAAACATTTCAAGTTTAGGGGCAAACTTATTATGCAATACTCTGTGCAGGTTTCGAGCTGGATTCCAGCAGGCATTCTCCTGGTGTCCTTGTGTCCCTCAAGGCTCATATGAAGGTCTGGAGCTCAAGTCAACTCGCTATCTTCAGACGCAGGCCAGCATTTACCGTGCAAGCCGAATGGAGACCACAGTATCCACAGTGATGCCGGTTATCGAGGGGGACCTTCGGGAGAATACAAATCGATGTTCAATAGATCTCACGTCTAATGGTTCTTCACAAAGCGCCTCCAAGACTGTATCAGAGTCATCCAGCTTCTATTCAAGCAACAATTTAGCCTAGAAAAGAATGTAGGAAATACTTTCAGTGTTAAAATACCAATCTTGTGAGGAGAAGGGCAAATGGTACACGCTCCAGCGAAGGTCGTAATGTGAGATACAACA